GTCTACACTATAGCCAGAGCAGTCATATAATGTGATAAATCCATCCCAGACCTGATTGTCAACACTGTACCATAGTTACATTTTGTTCCTGAACACGGGCTGCTCATTTTAGTTTGGACCTTTAGCCTAGAACAAACAACATCATACCAGGAAACAGTTCTAAGAGCTTCCACACCTCACTTAGTTTATCTCGTGCAAACTTTTTGTGCATTGAGCTCCTTTGCTTTGTTTTGGGAAAGTCTAAATCTTTGTTCATGGGGCAAGGAATTTGCAATTCATGACTGAAGTTTGTAAAAGTTTTTAGACCAAGTTTCCTTGTCTTTTCTTTTTTTGTTCCATGAAGTTCTCCAAGACATTACTTAGACTTTAAAAGTAGCACATCTTCAATACTAACATTTCCAATTTCAACTCTTGTGGTAAAGCAAGGTTATCAATTTTTCTTGTTTTCCTAGTTTTTTCCACAGAACTATAATTAATCAAAACACGTTATCTTTCATCAACTTGAAACCTTCATTTCTCTTTAATTCTTCAATGCAAAATAATGAAAATTTTAAAAGGGAAGTAATTTTGAAAACTTAAGCTTTATTCTTTATATCTTGAAAACAGAAACACCTTTCCAAAAATACATTGGAGGTAGAAAGCCAGATAGCTTTTAATAAAACACATAAGCATTGGTTTAATATATTAAGCTCACCTTATTTTTCTGACATGGAATCAGATATTTCAGGATATTTCGTATATACTTTCATTCAGTGCCATTCTTAAGGATTGAGGCAATAGATTTTTTGTATGTTCTACCTAGGGCAATGAAGTTCCCTGTTTCTCTAAGGACTTCAAATTCCACACAGAGAAATCAAGCTATGACAGACATAGCTATAAGAAATTTTACCTTAAAAATATTGATGACAATTACATTTTAGGTTCCATGAATTGTAAACATCTTCTGTCCTTTGGTCTCCCAAAATATGAGACAGAACAAAAGAGTCTTTCAGAAGACAAAAAAAAGTTTATTTGGGACTTTGAAGATAACAGCCTACAGTTTAGAATCGTCCTCTCTTACTGGAAGTGTGAACTGGGTTCTATTGTTTAGAAACTTTAGAAAAGGTCAGCTGAGCTAGCATGGAGAATAAATACAACTAACTTATTACATCAGTTTTAAGTTAGTTATTTAGTAAAGCAAGATTTAAAAGGAGAAGGTGGAATCTAAGTCTGGAACTGTGGCCCAGACTTAAGTGCTTTTTTCAACTGCTTTTAACAAGCCACAGTTATGCAAATCTGACTCAGCATTAAGAAGAATTTGGCAATCTAGTTTTCACCTTCAATAAAACATAAGATTTTCATGTAACATCATCTGTATATTCATAACAGACATCTCATTGTATCTCAGAAAACTTTCAGTATTACAAACCAAGATAAATCTACTCAGACATATCTACAGTGCTGGTGTTGTCCACTTCTGAACAAAAGATTTCATCCCATATACACTATGCCAGGAAGCCTCCATTGAGACTGCTGGTCAGTACTGGGACATTAGGCCTGGGGCCATGAATTTTGTTTCATGCCAACTTGTATTACTACTGAGCTAAGCAATGAAGTGTGATGTAAATTAGATAAATTCTGAAGGGGGCCCTCTGATAGTTTTAGCCACAGTACTGCAGGAGAGCACTGAATGTTCAACACATATAGCTCATTATCTCTAACCTGAATAGTATTCCCCAAAGGATATTCAAGTTAAAAAGGAGAGGGATTTTAATTTTGAGATCATCTATTACAGTTTATAGAAGAATAGGAAAAAGTTACTCATTTAAGTTTTTAATTTCATGCCCAAGAATCTCAGCAAGAAGCAGCATACTCACAGCAGAATCTTTCCAGCTCAACTGCAGTTAGACAGCTGAATCAGTAATGCAGTATAACATGGTCATATTAACTTGGTGAAGCAGAAAAGACCATCTGCACCACCATGAATGTAACTAGATCAGTGCCAGCAAAACAAAAAAAAAAAAAACACACACACCTTTTAGCAGCAGCTAAAGCCATAAAATCTTATGAATGGTACTTTTAAGATTAATGTAATTGATTAAAGAAGTTACAGTATTTGTTTTACCTTTTATGCAATAAGCTTCCAAAATTGATTTTTAAGATACTTTCCAACTCATTTATATGCACATTCAAAATAGCAAAATATTTTTAAATATACTTCAATGATTTCAACTGTTAAAAATTTAAGTGTATTTAGTAAATAAGAAATATGCATGCTTCTGAGGTCCACACCACCAAATATCAATGTGTAGATTGAAAACTGGCACCTCTAAATGCTGTCTATGAACTCACTATCTACTGCAGTGTTGTGTTAGTATATTCATTAGAGTAATAGATTCAATACTACACATTTGGAATAAAGTGGGGTTTTTTTTCCCAGTAGATCCCTCACTGAAGTCATGAAGTAAATAAAAGGGAAATTGTTACATGGAATCACATTTTAACATAGGGAAAGAAAGGTCAAAATGAATGACCAGATTTCTTAAGATGTAACAGTAGAGTCACACAGAGTCCTGTTAAATACATTTTCAATTCTTTGGAGAATGAAGGTGAGAGTTTGCTGATGTCATAAAATTAATCAGAATATGATGTGAGATTTGCAGACATCCCACACTGAAGTACTGAAAGGCCAAGTGATAAAACAGTGAATTACAGACTATTTTTACGTCTGTAAGAAAAGTAAGTCACTCTGCTAATCTCTAAGAATGGGAGTAGCTCATACCACTGCCAAAAGTTACTATATTAGAAATGAAAAGGAGCTAAGAGTAGGGGTGATCAGAAATACACAAAAATTTTAATATAGCTTAGTTATACTTGCATTCCTTAAAGAGATCAAAAGAGATACATAGAGAAACTAGTACCTTTGACAACTTGCTTGCTGTAAACCTATTGCAAGAAGTGGTTCTATACATAATTTATACATAAATTATGAGAATGTTTGACATAGCATACTTTCCAGAGCAAAGTACAATTCTGTATCAAAAGCACTGAGACAAATTATGGAAGAAAGTTGCATCACACATCAGTGATCTGGGCTCAAAACAGTCTGTGGATCAAAAGAAATTTCTGAACTGCCAACATCCAGAAATTGAATAAATAAACTAGAAGAAACATAACAACTGAGTTGTTCTCAAATTCCTTCTCTGCTTCATCCATTTTCAGAAACTATCAGAAGTCCTACACTACAAACTCTATCTCCTCAGTGGCCTTCAGTATAGCAACTTTAGGCTTTATACAGCTTTTCCTTTAAGAGCCAGGCACTCTCACTTTAATTCATTCAAAATTCTAGTTAAATTTAATAATATATATATATAGCACACTCTAAAGTGTTAAATGACTGAGTTGTGATCAACTGTGTTATATTAACTTATGTACAAGCATTAGTGAATTATCATCATCTCAAAACATTTTAGTAAGTGAAAAATCTCAGTGCTAAATATTAATGAATATTAGCTAGTTTCAAAGAATGAATAGAATGAGATCTTATCCCAACAGAATTTCTTATCCTAATAAGTAGGAACAGCAAGACATTTTGTGATGTCCTCAAAAGGCATACTCGCAGTGGAAAACACTCACATTGCAGAATGATAAGCAATTAGTTAAGTTCATGTTTATGAAATGACATCTGATCCATTCAGTTATTTTGTTTTGCTACTGTTTCTTTATAATTCCTTCCATATTTTGCTGTGTCTTTCGTGCATTAAAAGTCCTAACACCATATGAGTTATATTATGCAGTTTTCAAGTATTCACTGCCTGGATTTCTTGGTTTTTTGGGTTTTTTTTTGCTTGATTTATGGGAAAAATCTGAGAAAACTTTACATTTCTTACTCTGTTTCCTCAATTTATAGGATTTTATCTCAATTTTACAATTACTCTCAGCTACTGCTATTTCTTACTGCCTCAAAATGTTTACTTTACATGCATTCAGCATAGCCTACTGTACAATTAGTGTACAGACATGTAAAATCAATTGGCGTACAGAGTTTTAGGCTAAGTAAGATTATCACAAGAGGAAGATAATAAATGGAAAATGCTTTCCAATGTTGTAGGCTTGCAATATTCTCCACAATTAGCGATCTCTAGGAAGTGGCAGTCAGCACTTAAATGGGATCTAGGAGAGGTGGAGCCAGGCTCCACCCCTTCCAGTAGCACAGGTGAATTACCTTCACCTGTGCTCCCATGGCTGACTCATTGCTTGCTTCAGCTGGTGAATCAGAGGTTTAGGCCATGATTCAGCAGTTCCTATACACCTACCACATCATTTAATGTACCAAGCCCAACTAAGCCTACATCCACAAGAACACATAAAAGATGCATGTAGTGTATGGTGCAACAGAGGGTTGGAAGCTGCATCATTCAAAATAAGTGCTTCATTTAAATATAAGTTTTGAAAACAATAATAGCAAAACTAATGCTCAACTTATTTTTCAGAAGGATTAGCTCTGTTAAGTTTGTAGCCAATGAATAATAAATCAGTATCACAGTTTTAAGTACAAGGAATACCACTAGTAACAAGATCCACAATTACCTGTTTCAGGATACATCTACAAAGCAAAGTAATCCAGTGCATATACAGCCTTATGCAAATACATAGATTTAAGCCAGAAAGAACTATCAGAATAGATAATCTTATTTTTTATAAAGCAGAACATAGAATCAATACTTATTCTTTTTCTGAGCTCATTAGCTTAGATTTGACTGAAACATGAAGTCCTCTGGAATTTAACCAACCTCCATATTAATTACACATCCCAATGCAAAACACTATTAAGAATAGGTTAATTATTTATAGCTGTTATTATGCAATCCCAATTTGTGTAGAAAAAAATAAGCATATTTTCATGACAAGAACCTAACACAATCTTTTTTTTTTTTTTAATATATATTTACATGTAGGCAAACTTTTTGGGTTCCGGTTACCTGGATTGAGACTTTTAACATATAGAAAGCAGTCCTTACCGCAAGAGGATCCCGATGCAGTGATAATCGACTCATCTAAGCACAGCGATGACTCAGTGGCTCTGAAGCACTTTAAATCACCTACAAAAGAAAGTTGTAGTCCTTCAGAAGTAGATGACACAAAAGCACTGATTCAACCAAGTAAATGTTCGCCTTTGGTTAATATATCAGGACCTCTCGACCATTCATCACCTAAACAGCAATGGGACAGACTTTACCCAGACACGATACAGACAAGCAATCCACTAACCCATTCCAGATCAAAGGAAAGCATTTGTAGCATACGGAGAGCGTCTTCAGTACATGACATAGAAGGATTTAACATCCATGCGAAGAACATTTTTAGGGACCGTCATGCAAGTGAAGGTATGGTAGAAAAAAAAAAAAAAAAAGCAGTCAGTATTTTGTTTTTCATTAAGAGAGATTTTCACGATTTTCACACTAATTATCAGTTTGTAAGTAAAACTACATATATTCATCTATAGACATTCAAAATAACAATAAAAATATTAAGGGAGAAAATAAGCCAGTTGGGGGGGGGGGTGTTATTCGTGTTATTCGTTGTTTTGTTTATTACTCTAAATACTGCTTTTCACGTCTAAGCAGACCAATGAAATCATGGAGTTGCTCTTAGACCACCATCTGTCTTCTATACAGGAAAACAGCAAAATTAGGTCTAGCATCTGTAAAACTAATATTCGTAGTAGGGGAGAAAAAAAGATTCAGACAATTAATCCAGAACTGCATACACAGTTCTGTCCCCATACTCACACATATTATCTCTAATTGTATGGAATCCTACTTCAGAGATGGAACTGTTTATTCTTTTTTTAAATCTCTTATGCATATTGTATACTCACTAACCCAAAACTAATGCTTTTTCTTACATATTGGAGAATAATCTCAGTAATTCCAGTGAAAAGCTTGATGGAATGTCTAGTGAAATACATGAAATTTATATTAAGCAGCTCAACTAAGCACAAAGTATCCCGTGAAACATGGAGTACAACCCATGGTTTCTTCATGTTGAAATGATGAGGAATTTAAGAAACAGATGTTTCAAAACTCTGTGAACGAAAAAGTACTTTGTAACTGACTTCCACAAGAAAACTACCAAATATACAATGCTTTTGTAGATACTAATGACTTGTGTAATTTTTATTAAAGCTCGGTGGCAAGTAATGTATGTGGAATATTTTAAGAATTCAGAAACATGTGAACCTATTCTCAGTCTTTTATGACATAAGAAAATGAGTTCTCGTTTTCCATGATTGCTCATTTTTCTCCTCTCATTCATTGACTCCAAGTGTAAAATTCACTTAAGTTCTCCTGCCTTTTGGAAAGTATGCAGCAAAGCTTTCATACACCTCCTACAGTGTAAGTCTGAGTGCTCCACCCCCAGTCAGATTAATTCCTACAATAGCAGAAGTGATGATTCCTTATAATACACCTGTATTAAATATAATGGAGAAATGTTTTTTCTTTTAATCATTTTTTTGCTTCTTTTATACTCCAGTTTTTTCAGCACAAGAGAACCTGAAAATTCAATTAAGTCTATTCCAAACCGTGCTACTTTGTATTTCATTTTCACATTCAAGCCAAGATTTCAAGATCAGGATCTGGAGCCAAAGACACCAATGTTTATGCATGTCTTTTGGAATGCTAAAGATGCTTCATTTTGGTTTTAACTTCCCCAAATCTAAACCAGCATTTCAAATAAAACACATTTAAATATATATTTTGTCAGTTCCTATTTTCAGAACTTATTCTGATTAAAGTACTTCACAGATGGTTCTTGAAATGTGTAAAAATTAAGTTTTATTACTAAGTTTTATTGGTTATAATGGTATAAAGTTCATGCAGAAATAGCCATACAATTTAATACTGGCTGCATGGAAGAGCAAAAGATTTCAAGCTCCATTTCACTGAGTACCATTTTTCAACTTTCAGATACTAAAAACAAGTGATTTTACTATGAGAAGCAGATAACACATTCAAATTCCTCTCATATCTTACATCCTTACAGTGTAAACAGATAAAACAACGTCATCCAATTCTACTTTGCATACAAAACAGTAGAGAATCTGTCCCTCTATTTAGGTCATATATAGACATCCTAAAAAAAGTACAGTAGAAGAGAGGATAGTTATCAGTATTCCATTAGAATCATCAACCATACTTGATGCCATTTTCTCTCAGTTGTGTTTGAATTTGGCACCTTATGCTGAAAAGATATTTAAGTTTTACTAGAAAGTCCCACACGACTTAACCAATAGCAAGCTGCAAATCCCCACCAATGTTTTAAAATGATCTACATCAGGTGTAATGCAATGGAAAGCACAACAACAACAACAACAAAGCAGCAAGGTCTTAGGTTACAGCAAGCGAGGACTTGCTCAAATACAACAGCCTTGGGCACAGACATAAAGGGAAGAAGCTACTTACCTTCAGAAATCCTCAGGTGTACAGGGACCTCAAGAGATGTCCTTACCTCCACTGCCAACCCTTAAATGAGGTCTGGGAAGTGTTAGATCCTGGCTCCGCTCCTTCTGGTCACTCAGTGCATTGCACGTGCCTGAACTCCCTTGGATTGGCCCTGCCTCCCCACCAGGTGCTACACCACTGTTTCAAACCCTGACTTTGCATTTCTGCTACATTAGGCAACCAAGATTCAGCCTAAGTCCTCTTCTTTGGACTACAGATTCTGAGCAGAAGCTGTAGATGCTACTGAAGAATGTAAAACCCTAATTACTTAAGTACATAAAAGTAAACTCCAGTCCTAATGTGGTATAGCAACAATCACATACTAAAAGGTATTACATTAAAAATGACAATTTAAAGATTGTAAGTTCATTTGGGCATACTCAGTTGAATTCTATCCTATAGTTACCTGTTTGACAGCAAAAACAGCCGGGCAGGAACTGCATTCCACGAAACTGCAGCCAAACTCTTCTCATCTGAAGCACCAGCAAACCAGATTTTGCAGGCAGGTACACCAGTACATATTAGGAATTTTATTGTTTTCAGAAAGGACCCTCAGCCATTCTGGCAGTCTTCAAACTTCTTTGAGAGTTTGATCTCCAAAGCAGGTGACAGCAGCTGGTGGTACACAGGATCACAGCTGTTTCCACCAACCTCAGGGCCCTCACACGCTCACCGAGCTCCTGCAGCCAGACAGGGTGGGCTGCACAAAGGGAGGGCAGCTTAGGGGTCACGCACATCCCTGAGAAGGTAGGGTGGTAACTGTCCACATGTGTGACTTCTTTAAATGATAATTAAACAGATTGATCTCAGGTGAAGGTTCAGGGATGCAGGTGCCTGTGAGAAGCAGGTATACCTCACTAAGATAGCTTTTCCGATGTTATTTCCCACAAAGGTACCATCCAGTGTGCTGCAAAAAGGTTTAAGGCTCATCTTTCGCCTCAGTGGTTCCTCAGTATTTAGTGAGAAAGGGCACTGCTCGACTTGCTGCTACCTTACAAGCAGCTCTGGGAGACATAACTCCTCCTGTAAAGACTGGGAAGGTGCGGGGCGCGTGTGAGACCACCCACACAGCCCCTGCAGCTGGCCTGGGCTGCCCACAGCTGTGGGTGCCTCAGTCCGGCTTAATTGCGTTTGACTAATTGTTGTCTTGTGGGTTAGAACTTTGGATTTCCAAGCCAGTGTAGGGAAACTATGTTGTTGTTTTGCTGTTAAAGCAAGTTTGAGCCAATCCTACTCATTTTTGCAACTCCTCTGATCAATTCCAAACTGTTTTACAAGCTGTTTTTTGATTGCCAAAATGACTTCATCTTGCCTAAAACTTTACATAATATAATCATTTTAATTCTAGCCACATATATTTTGAAGCAATGTTTTCTGCTTTTTCTGATGTAGATTTTAGTTGTCTTTTTTTCTCTCTTTGTTTTTATTATGCTGAAAACCAGACAATGGTCGCAATGTCAAAGGTAAAGTATCCGTCTAGACTATACCTTCCAGTGTCTCCACAGCCACACTTTTTGGCATGTTACTTTGCCTGCGGTATGAAATGTTCAAAAGCAACATTCTCATGATGGCCCCTCTAGAGCCAGGGCCATTACTGAAATTATTCATGTTAAACGTAGTTATTCTCTTAGCTATTGTCTCAAAGCTAACTACCAATCCCTGGAAAAAGTGAAGGCATAGTTAAACGGTTATTGTACTTAAGTACCTGCTAATTCAAACGTAAAGGAAGGGTCGTAGTTCAGGTCGTTTAACTCATTACTGCTGTCTAAGCAGGTAAAACTTCTGTTGAAGCAACCAGGAGTTTTATCTGTGAAAGGATGTAAAATCAGGCTGGGCCACTAATTAACGATCTATTGTACTAAGGTGGCTACTTGTCAGTTAACTACCTCAAAAGTAAAAGAATTAATTACGAGTCCTATGGAAATATCTTCACTTATTCCTATTTTGTCTCCTTAAAACTAGTGTCACGTTCCTGGATGGCAGGGGGTATGGTTTCAAGCTTCCTGTAGCGTTAAAGTGTGCATGCATGCACTTCATTACCAGTTATATGTTTAAATAATACTTCGTGCAGTTACAGAGTTGTTTCTATTCACCAGCACTGAGCTATGTCTTTTATCAGCATTTTGAAAATCATCCATCTCTAAAAAACAGTGATTAAAGTGTTCGGTTATTTTAGCTGTGTCTGAAAACCAGTTTGTGATTTCATGCATGATGCAAAAAGTGTGCGTACTTGATAAAGTCTTCTCTTTTAACTGCATGCACTGCATGAGCTGGATTTTGTAGAGTGAGTCATGCACTATGAAATCATTGCATTTGTTTCATGTTATGTTGGTAAAGTCTTCGGGGGAAAAAAAATGCAGTCATTGTACTCTAAAACAGCTTTCATAAGTGTATTTACTGCTTGTGAAAGATGTTGGCTTGACAGCTCAGAAAGTGAAATCCTTTAATGCATTTTGTAAGCAGAGGCAAAGAAATCCTACCATGAAAATGGGGAGTTCACATTAAACCTTAAAGAATCCCCTTTATACAGTAGGCAGAAGCATATTATTCTCTCTGCTTATTTAATTCTTTCCTGTTCTGCTGAAAGTGTCAATCAGGGTGCCAATTAATGTCAATTGTGATTTGTTATGGACCTCCTTTTCTCCTTTCTGCTATGAGAATATAGAAAAGTCCACTAGCTCTCAAGAAGCAGCCCACATTGTACTTAATTTTTAGTAAGGGATTTTAATTAATTACCATCATCAATTATATATATATATATATATATTTCACCAATTTTAATGCAAAAGAAGGTGGTTAAAAAAGGTTTTATTCTCATGTGCAATTAATTTAATTCTGATATCATATGCTAAGGCATGAATGTTACATAGAGGAGAAAGTAATTCCCTTTGGAACAGAAGCAATATAAGATTTAAATCCCAGAAAGCAAAACTTCAGTGCAATTTATGCTTCTATAAAGTTACCATCAAAAAAAAAAAAAAAAAAAAATCTATCTAATTGTGGATTTGGTTATGCTCTCTTAGTTTTCTTTACCTTAGTGTTTGTTGGATATAAAGAATTTCATTCATCTGGCGGATGGTCCCAACTAGATGTTCCACTCATGTTTAAGCCTACTCAATATTCAAAAACTAATTGTTACAATTATGTAGAGAAGTAGAGCTGAAAAAAATGCAGTCTATCCCTGCACAGCACACACCAGCCAGATCAGCACCTTTGCTAATTTCTAAGGTCACTGTGAGCCCTGCGTTATTTTGAAGAACATTTTTTAAATGAAAAAAGTAGTTGGTGGAAAAGATGTATTCAAGTCCTACCTGGGCTAAAAGGTGATTAAGCACAATATCCTATTTCCTTGATAGTGTCTTCAGTACCAGTGTTTCTAACATAAAGATGGAAAGAAAGCATGATTTTTGTAGTTTAGTGGTTAGGGTACTCACCCACAAGTTGTGTTTCTCTTACATCAAATCATTGGACAAAATACTGAAAGGTCTTTGAGAGCAGAAACACTGGGTTGAGGGGAGCACCTTAACTATCAGGACACATGCCCACCCTTGTGAGCTTGAATGCGCAGTGGTGCTACCATAAAGTGGGTTATCGAGAAACTCTAAAACTCAAGTTGCAGTCATAGAAAGTTGACATTCTTTAATATCAGCACTGGATGCATGGGGGATACTCTGCTCCTATCACGAATACCTTGCACAAAGAGGTCTTCAGTATATATGCATTCAGAGGTCTTCTGGAGGTAAATACATATTCCATACTAAGACTTGTGGAACTTTCCTTATTTACACAAAGTCTCAAGAACCTCATTTATCTATTCAATGCAAAATGTGGTGGAACCTCCCTTATCTATTCAATGCAAAGACACAGACCCTTCCCATTATCTAAACAAACCGCAAGGTTTTCCATTCGGGATCTTAGCAAGCTGCACAATTTGAAATGGAGTAAGGGAGGGTTTTTTCCTCTGGTTTATGTTAACCTATAGTTTGTATGAATTCGGGAAGCTAAAAGCACACATATGAATTTTTGTAAGCTAACAAAGCAAATAAAAAGTTTGCTTCTTTGGAAGTCATTCTAAACCAAGTAGAGGAGAGACACCATCTTCACCTAAACAATTTGACAGACAACTAATGACAACAAAAAAAAGCCCTACTTTGATGTTGAAAAGGTAAAGCATAAAGGTATAGGCATAAAAGATAAAGGTATTGACCTTCACAAAACAGCTTTGGGCTCTGAGTCCCAAGTAAAATCTTAAGAGATCAAGTTATAGAATTCAGCAGTGCCTAAATTTACCCACAGCATGCTCCAGGCAGCTGGTTGCTTTGAATTTACTCATTCTCACATTGCAAATACGGCCCATCCCCTGTTTACTCAGGCTTGTCACATAGCCTTATTCTGTCTTACAGGCTGGTTATGAATTGTCACCAGTTCTTGTTTTCCTCCAAGGAATTAAAAAGAAAAGAAAAAGTAGAATATAAACCACCAAATCTTGCTCATTATCTATTACACCATTAGGACATAGTCAGGTTCTCATGCAGGTATGAAAATACCCCTTAAATCCCACATTTTATTTTACTGACAGCAAGATCAGGACTTCTAGTTAAATCTACAACTGCTTGTTGTCCATGCATCTGTAGAGTTTTCTTTTCCAGTCTTATTCTCAAAAACAAACTTTCATTCTATGAATATTTTTGTTTTCTAGACCAAATCTATCATGACAGTGCAAAATAATTTTACTGATCACTCATACTGTTTACTTGTACAAATAGCTAATTCCAGTATTTAAAAGAATAATCATGATGGATATGTACTTCATGAGGTGCGGTACTTCATACTTTTTATTTAACTTGACTCATTAAAGTAATGCAGGATGATTGTGTATTAAATACTCCATTAATGTTCTACGTATGGTTGTCCCTATTATTTTCAATATTTTTTTGTACATGACAGCTAAGCCAACACATTTTGTGAGTCTGTGACTTTTCAAAATTAGTCTTTAAAGACAATGTTAGACATAGGTTAATATTAAATTGATTAAATATGGAGTCCAGTCCATTTTTCTCTTTGCCAGAAGGCATTTTTGAACTAACTAACCAGTTACTAACTTACAGGTGTGATAACAGAGCCTTTGCTCAGTTCAGACACTTATAATATTGCATGTCCTATTTCTGCTTTTATAAACAAAATGAGAATATAATATTTATACTCAGCCAGAATAACCATAAGCATACCTGTTAAAATGAAAACAACTAAGCATGGATCTGGTTTGCCTTTTGTATTCCACAGAGTTTATAAAGAATACTGGAGGCTTTAAGTAAAGGAAATTGTATATTTACATCCAATAATGAAATTGATTCTGATTAGTGGTAGAATTATTGTTAAGATGTGGGTAATTTTACTAATAGCAAGTAGCTACTTCTAATATATCCCATCCAAACATTAATGATATCTTACATCTGTGCGTTTCTCAGATACTAAATAAGTTATCTGATTTTTCAGGACCTTTTAATCATATCAAATCAAGTCTGTTGGGATCCACATCGGATTCAAATCTCAACAAGTACAGCACAATCAACAAAATTCCTCAACTCACCCTGAACTTTTCAGATATCAAAAATGAAAAAAAATCTTCATCTCCTCCTTCTTCGGAGAAAGCAATTATTGCACCTAAGGTGAAAGATCGAACGCACAATGTAACAGAGAAGGTTACCCAGGTAAGGTACTACTCGTTATTTGAGTTAATTTTCGGTTTTACAAAGCTGATTACCAATGTTTTAGGTCTCTGTACCTTTTCACAAATAGTTTGGATTTCCTTGGAAGGTTTGACTTACTTCACCTCCAATTTAGTTTCACAGGGTAGTTTACAGTATT